TCCAGTAAAGAACTTTGCCACAGCCTGTGGGGATTCTGAAGTATTCCTGCCACTTCTAGGCCCAATGCACTAAAGAATCTGGTGATTTAATATACATGAACTGCCTATTTTAGTGGAAAACTTTAGTTCTTAGTTACTTTTATTTTAATGTGAAGAGAAAAGTATGTAATTGAAGGATTGCTTGCAGTTTCAGAGGGTGAATCCATGGCCATCATAATGGGGAGCACAGTGGAAGGCAGGCAGGTATGACTCTGGAGAAGTACCTGAGAACTTGTATCTGATCCACGAGCATAAGGTAGAGACAGAGTTAATGGAAGGTCATGGGTTTCAGAAACCTCAAAGCCCACACTCCTCTAACTAAGCTACACCTGCTCCAACAAAGCCAAACCTCCTCCAAGGACACACCTCCAAACCATTCCCACAGTTCCACCAACTGTGAACAAAGCATCTAAGCATATGTGTCATTTTCATTCAAAGCATCACACCTTAGTATGTATGAAAATGTAAAAAATTAAGAGTTTACAAACCTTAAAAGTGTCTTAACCAGCTCTAAGAAGTTTTTGTGAAACTTTGCCTATGTCTTGCAGTTTCACAGTATAAATGTGGTCACTTAGTTTTCGTTAGATTTTCTAGCTTCTTTCAGGTAATTCAAAAATAATGTTTGAGTTGAATATGGCTAGATTAACTACTTTCATATGTGTGAGTGCCTCAGGCCTTTCCAAAATAAGTTTTTAGAAATTTCATCTTTATTTGTGGGAGACATACAGAGCACTGGCTAATACATGGATGATCCATTTTTTTTTTCTTTTCCTTACGGCAAAATCAATATTTTCTGTGATCTATGAAAGATGATTGCAAAACTTGAGAGGAATGAACTACATAGAAACAGAGGTATGTACATGTTTGTATTGTGTACTAATGTTTTTGACTCCATCTTAGCAGTAATTCTATTAGTAATTTTGTATGAAGTCAGATGTGTTTCATCAACCAAGGCCTCTGACCTGTTTATCTTCTCTTGTATATTTAAATTTTAAAAAGAATTCCTTATTCAACACTAATTTATTCAGAAGAACTAAGTGAATACATGCACATATACACATACAAACACATTCACACACACAAACACATATACACAGAGTGCATATTTAAATATTTGTGAATGGATGGAAAATCATTCTTAATATTAATAGTAGGCTGATTTAAGTTCACTTTGTTATATATAATAAAGTTCTGAAACAATAATGCATTTAAAAAGAGATCCATAAAAAATGTTTAGTTGTGTTAACCATTGGCAAAACTACATGAAAATAACAAATGATGCTGCCATCTTAAGCATCAGTCCTGATACGAGGCTGTTGGAACATCCAGACTTTGATGTTGGGACTATAACTGGTACACCTGCTTTATGGAACTTATTGCCTGTGTCATTTGAAGTTATTGTGTATCTACCCTGTAATAATACAATTCTGTTTCTACATAAACAGCTGAACAGAAACTGTCATCATTCTGCCAACACACAGAAGTCTCCGTTAGAGCGGTGCTTCTAGAAACTGAAGACTAGAAACAATGATCAAAATCCATATCTGAATTTTTATTTACCTAATAGGTTAGCATTTAATATTTCAATGTATTTTGCCAACATTTTTATATAACTGCACACTTTCTTGATGTGTATTAAGCACACATTTTCACTGTCACTGTAAGATCCTTCACTTTAGTTTCCTCTGATGCACCGAGGCAGTGAATACACAAAAGAGGAAGAGCTAAGTTATGGTTTGAAAATATATATGAATTTTTTAAAGTGTTTGGGGACTCAAAAATATTACTGTCTGTGTGTGGTGATATTGTGTTCCCCAAAATATTGTGCACCCTAATAAACTTATCTGGGGTCAGAGAACAGAACAGCCACGCCTTTAATCCTAGCATTCCAGAGGCAGAGATCCATCTGAATCTCTTTGAGTTCAAAGCCACACTAGAAACAGCCAGGCATGGTGACTCACAACTTTAATCCCAGGAAGTGATGGCAGAGAGCAGAAAGGTATATAATAGGCGTGAGGCCCAGGAAGTAGAGCCTGCTTAAGCTTTTAGGCTTTAGAGCAGCAGTTCAGCTGAGATTCATTCCGGATGAGGACTCAGAGGCTTCCAGTCTGAGGAAACAGACCAGCTAAGGAATTGGCAAGGTGTGGTTGGCTGTGGCTTGTTCTCCTTCGCTGATCTTCCAGCATTCACCCCAATAACTGGCCTTGGGCTTGTTTTTATTAATAAGACCTGTTAAAATTCATGCTACATCTGAGTTTTTGAATAGACATTTCTAATTCTAAAACTTATAACAATTTCAAGTGATGTGATCAGTTTTGTATTTGTTAAAACATTAGAAGCACAAATGGAGCAAAAAAGCACATCAACATAGGAGCAAAACTATCAGAAAAAATAGCTGAACAAGAGCCTTGGTTCTTGCCTCTGATTCACATTTGATTGGCAAGTCATTGATAGACTATAGATTTTTCTGGGAAAACAAATTAATTTGTCATTATCATTATTATGACTCAGGAATATGAAATACTTTTATGAATATTAATAAACATATTAATCAAAGTAAATTAAAGTTTTCTTTCAATATTGTTATATTTTCATATAAGGTTGGTATATAAGTATTTTCAATACAGAACCAAAAATGTTCCTCTCTTAGACAAATATAGGAGTGGATCTCGCCTTGAGACATTCATTATTTACACATCTTACTTCCTCCCATATAAGTGGCTGCACATAACTAAATGTTTTGTAGTTTCTCTTATGAAAATGTTCAAAGAAAATTAATTATTTTGTTTTTATTAATTAAATGTGTTCTTTGACAGCTTTAGTCATGTATTTAGCACATCACATTCTGCTTATTCTCTTCCCATAATATATTTTTGGGAATAAAATTAATGCAGAAAATCACAACAGGTCCAAGTATAAAGAGTGTTTATGGAGTATTCAGCCATGGATGGAATAACAACAACACAACCCCACCCCCAACACCCCTAAAGCTCAGAGAACATCATGGAAGAAGAGACAGAAATGTAGTAAGATGAAGGAATTGTGGGGACCAAGGGAAAATGAAAGTTCTAGAAATGACAGTGCCTCTAGAAGTTGTCACTGCCTGCACAAGGTCTGCATCCAATCAAGCCAACCAGCATTGGAGGCACTGAGGTGCTATTGATATTTGACGGCTGATGCAGAAGGGAGAGTCAGCTTTAAGGTTCTGGCCTCTTGGTTGATTAAGCATGCTCTAGATGATGGCTCCACATTGATAGGTGTATAGACAGCACAAGCTGCATTCAGTGGGTTTAGAAAATAAAATAAATAAGACGACACAGAGTATAGAAAAGTGAATTAATAGGATAGGGAGTATCAGGAAGAGGTTACAGGGATGAGTCAGGTGGTGACTATGATCTAAATACATTGTATGCATGTATGAAATTCTTAAATAATTAATAAAATATTATATTTACATTTTAAAATAACAATAAATAAAAGTTAAAACATAAAAAGAAAAGCACATTTATCTGATTCAGTCCTAGAGCTCTGTGTCTTCGTGTCAATCTCTACATATACAAAACAAAGGTAAGCCAACAAATGAAGTCCTTTCTCCATTTCTTGTATCTGGCTCTTTTTCCTGGCCACTCATTTATTTAGAAATATATGAACTTCCCAGGGAAAAATATGCAGCCCATTCCCTCTGGTGGATTTCTTGTGAGTCTGGTAAGGAAGCTAGCTAGATACAATTTATGGCATGCACACTAGGGTACAGCTGAAAATAAGTGTAAGCATTTTTCTATTTGGTCTTTTTCAATGTCTTTATTGTATGACATATGGAAATTATCAAATTAGAAAATATTTTATGAAAGTCATAAAGTGTTCATTTGCATTAAATTTCAGTCAAGAATTAGGGTGACTTGAAGCATGTTTCACCTCTGTCTAGTTCGGTTCCTATGGTACTTACTAAAAGCTCTGTGGCCATCTGAAAGGCCAAGTCCAGTGTATGCCAACAAACTGGGCACAAACTGTACCCCAATGATGGTGTGGTTGTCTTTACAGAGAAACAGCACAGACAACTTCATGTTCAGTAAAAGTATAAAATATAACTAGGAGATCAAAAAAGGAGTAAAATTCTGCTAAATTCCTGAGTTACATGACAAATGATTATTAGTGATGAGATGTCATAAACTTTAGAGTTTACAGTACTTTATTAAAAAATAAGTTTTTCCTTTTCCACAAATTTCTCTAATTTTGTATGTTTTTCCATGTCTTACTATTTGGCCTGAGCTAGCTTCAAACTCACAATCCTGCCTCAGCCCCTCAAGCGCTGAGATTACAGGCATGTGCCACCATAAGCAGCCTTGTACTTTATAAATATGTCAAATATATTTATTGCTGTACTGCTACCTTCAGGAATGGTCATAGTGTTGTTAAAAAAAACTAGGATAGTTCCAAAATTTACTAAATATGAACCAGTGGGAAAAGAAATATAAAAGTAACCAAGTTTATCATAGAAATGGCACAAATGTAGAATTAGAAATTTAAAAGCTAAGTTTGAATTTCAAATAAACTTACATTTTACTGTATCTATAACTGAGTAATTCATTTCTTACAAATAGACACATAAATTATATTATGTGAAGAATTCCAGAGTATGACAAATTAATTTTTAGGAATACTAATGAATAAAACAAAATAAAACAAAAGCTGGGTGAGTTAGCACACATCTGTAAACTCTTAGAGGCAGAGGCAGGGGAATCGTAAGTTACAGGTCATCTTGACCTATCACATGAATTCTAGACTCCTCCAAAACACTCACGCAGACAACTAAATAAACAAGCAGATGCAATAACAGGCAGTTTTTAAAAATTATTACAGATCATTTTATGAATACTTAAATGAAATAAATTAAGAAACCTTAACTTAGAGAGGAGTATGCAGTCTCGAGTAACTATTCCTCCACATCTGGTCCATCTTACCTCTAGAACCAGTTGCTGGAGAGATGGAGATGCTACTGGATGCAGACTGGTGTTGCCGCGGACGGGACTATGGAGGCTAACATAAGCCACGGCATTCTTTTGTAGAATCTTCGCAAAATCCTGAAATAAAAATGTTAAAAGTTCTACCATTGGTGCAATTAAAATAACATGTTCTAACCTCATTAGGATAATAAATATTGTGATGTTCAAATATGTTTTTTATCAGAAACATGCATAAAATATTGTCTTTTATGTTAAGGCTAACCCTTCTCCTTCTATATGTAAACTTGTCCTCCAATCTTGGTTTACTCTGTTAGGCATAATCAGACTGCTGCTAAAGTAGTACTTATGTAAAATAATCACTTAAGAGAAAAGAGTTGAAAGGTAGTTTAATGTTCAGTTCAATTACAGAACACAGATTAAAAATTTTCTTCAATGATAGTGTCTAATGTTATAGTCATTGAATTAGAGAACATAATTGGTGAACTTCACTGGTTAGGGCTGGCAGACTTTTTCTGTGAAGCAGTAAGCTAATTTGCACCAATAAACCCTTATGTCAAGGAAAATTGGACAAGTAAGAACTGTGAACCTGAAAATATTACCTTATAAAAATCCTCATGAATGCTGTATGTACTGTATGTGCTGTATGAAATGACTCAGTGGCATGGTTTTGCATTTATGATCCCTGCCCTGCAGTATTGAAGATTTCTGACCCCAAACTGTGAGGAGAAAGAGCAGAGGGACTTATATCCTTGACTTCTCTCTACTTAATGTTGGAAATTCATCTACAAATTGAGAGAGATGAGTAATTATTTAAAAGTAATTCACCTTTCAAGTGAACACAAGTAATTAAAAACACTTTAGTAATTTCATATATAATATGGTAAAAATTGTCCAATATTACTTATATTCTATGAAAATAATTCTCATAACATGTGAACAAATAGATAGTTCCTGTTAAACTAAGAGCACATACACTCCTCCTTTTAACACATGAGCACATGGACACCTCCTCTTAACACATGAGCACATAGACTCTTCCTTACAATACATGAGCACACAAATACTTCCTCTTTCAGTTAATATGGTTTCCATGAGTACCACAGGAGACAGACATATACTTACTTGAGGAATCTAATCTCAGAGAACTCAAGGCTGTTAAAAAATAACGTGTCTATGATAGGAAAGATCTGAACTCTTATTTTCTTCCTCTAAAATTTGTAATAATTCCAGAGGAGCATGTGAAAAATACCCTTCATATAAGAAATGGTACTTTAAAAGATCCTGTTTTCGGAAATGCCTTAATTTTTCACAAGGATCAATGTCAGTACAGAGTTAAGTCTTTCTTTCTTGCATAGCTACAGTTACCATTTACAAGTTTATTGAGCAACTTCATCTAATCCTCTTAACTTCAACAGGGTTTCCAGGGGTTCCTATGCAAGCGAAATTACAGAGGGCAAGATGGGACATGAACAAAGCTTTTTCTTGCTCACCTGCATTCAGGATCAATATAAACAAAAGTGTTTCATTCTCAGAAGGCACAGATTGCATAAGAGTAAACAGAATGAACAACCAAGAGTTCACACTTCCCTTCACATGGATGGCATTGAAATGTTTCTATGGGATATGGTGGTGCAATATATTATTATATAGAAAATTACAGATACATTTTTATTAGCCAATGGTGAACTCTGAAAATCCTTGATGATTTTATTATTTATATCTTTGTGCATCTACTCATCGAAGAGTTCACAAGGTAACTAAATATGTAAATTTGCTCAGTTTTACACACACACACACGAGAGAGCAACCTACATATATATGTATATTTAGTCAAATATAAATACATTTGTATGTATATATATATGTGTATATATATATATATACAGTTAATAGAAATATAATTATATCACTTTCCCTCCATCTGTTCCTCCCTCCACCTCTCCCAGGTACCCTCACTCCAAACCTTCCCATGACCCTAATCCATTCTTAAGTTGATAGCCTATTTTTCTTTGATTATTATTGCTACATTCATACATATGTATATGTATGAACAAATATATAACTGCAACTCTCTGAGTCTATTGTTGTTGTTTGTGTGTATGTAAGTTTTCTATTCCTTTGAACTCATATCCCATAGCAGATTTATATTTAGTCTCTGTTGAGAAGTCACAGAATTGTCAAAAGGAACAATGAATTCACAAAGTGCTTAAAAGGAATTTATATTTTACTATGCACAAACTATTTACATAGTTTGAAAAAATTGTTCCTATAAATACAAATCAATATTTATTTAATATGCAGCCTGTGATGACTGACATTTAAATACTTCCAAGGAATTTTTGCAATATAATTCTCTATGAATTTGTGTTTAAGGTAGGTAACTTAGGAAATAATGTGAGGAAAAACCTGTTTTTTGGATGTGGTTTATACATACATATTTATACATACAATATAAATTAATTGTGAAATTTGTAGACATAGTGGAAACTGTTTAAAAATATTCTTTAAAAATTTTTTAACACTTCTTGGACTTGAGAGGATATAAAGTAGGATCTTACTGAGTCAGTACTTTGAGGAGGGTGGGTGAAGGGCTCACACAAAGCAAACAGTGAATGGAGAGGTGGAGGGAGAGACTGAGAACTTGGGAGGAGAGGAGTCAGGGTAATTGAAAAGTTTTCAGAAAGAAGAAAGTCAGAGAACAACTGCTGAATCCACATACAAATTCCGCACTACAGCATATTCCCCATCCAGAAGTCCATGAGGAAACCAAGTTCCTCTTTTATACATCCCACAGGAGCTGACTTAATTGTGATAAGGGCCCTCAAATGAGTCTGGGACTTTACCTTCCAGACCTCTGACCCAAGCTGGAAAATGAGAATCTATATGAGAAAAACATGGATAATTCATTTGTTCAAGAAATACCTCAACTCTCTCGTTAGGTAGTGAGCTAGGGTCTGGCCCCGTGGCATTGAGCAGAGGGTGATGGGAAATGACAAACAAGCCAGGTGTAAAACACGTGGTCATTCATACCAAGGAAAGGTTTGCAAGGCGGCGCTCGGGATTCCCAGGAAAAGCTGGGAATTGTGCATGGCTTGAAGAGGAAGGTCATAGACAGCCTCATGAGTGAAAAGAAGTAAGATGTGAAAGTTTTTAGGGAGCAATGGAAAGAACAAAAAAAGAAAATTGAATTATAGTTTTATTGTTTTGTAATTATTTAAAACAGTACAAATTCATAAAAATGCAAAAAAGGTGTTTTTAAATTGTTTTGTTTATCTTGAAGTTATTAAATAAATTTTAAATTTTTGTTTCAGGGGCTATGGTTTTTCCTCCTGGAATTTAGAAAGGGTCCCAAACAACAGAATGTCTTCAAAGGAAGTACACTTTTTGAAATAGAACCCTCTCGTACTCACTTGAATATGCTAAAATAATCTCCAAGTACTCTGTGAGTCTTGTCCAGCTTATTTACACCAGAGGACATTTTCTCAGTTGTAAGATTATTTCCCTTTTTAAAAGTACATGGGAGTCTTTCTTGTTTTAAGATTATTTTTTATTCCATGTGTTATCCCCTAAGTGAAAGTATACCGATCAAGTAAACATGACTGCAGTGCTGTGAAGGTGCATAGGTCTGCGAGCAGTGGAAGAAGGTTGGTCTCAGACCATGTAGAACCTACAGAGGAGCAACTCGGTTCCCTCCCAGCAGTCAGCAGATAGGAAGCCCTTTTACGATGGTCATCGTTTCCTTTGCCTTCAATCATATTAGACTATAACATCTGGAAAATAAAAGATTTGAGGGAAGGAAGTAAAATAATTATAATTAATGAATTTACTTCACCTCTCCCCATTCATAGGAGCCAATATTGCCCCAAGTCGTTCCTCCCCACGAACAGAAAACAATAGTGCGTTCTGGTCTCCATCCTTTCTTCACTCGTAACATCAAGGCTTGGATAAACGCAGTGATTATTGCAGTACTGCTGGCCCATTCTTGTCCATTATAACTGTATCCAACATGGTGGTTACTGCCAACTATAATATACCGGTCTGGAAATAGAATGAAATAAGAACTATTAAAGTAAAATGTAATCCTTAACAATAAGTTTAATGACATTTACATAAGCCTATTGCACAAGGAAGCAACAATTAAGCCAAATTGTTCTGATAATTAATACCACTTTAGCATTTTCCACCCCGTTCTTGATTCATACATCTGGGTATATCAATGCAGAAGCAGCTGCTAACGTCAATCATGAATTCAAAGCTTAGGTCCATATTACTGTCCTCTGCAACATGAAATATTAATTAGTGAAGTATACAAATATACCACAATGAAACTTTTATCTAACATTTTTCCAGCATCATGGTGGGATGTGCACAGCAAACAATGTGTGTGTGCTCAGTGAAGAGCAATGACCTATTAATACATCTCCAAAAAAGAAGTGGCGTAGGAGCTCTGCACATTAAAAATTTGCTAGTTATGCATAGACTTTGTAAAAAGAATAGGTATTTTGGGATATACTTATAGTTTCAATTTATACTTTTAACCCTTCTCCATTCTCTAAAAGAAAATAAAATTCATCACTATCAAGCCAGGACTACGGAGAGTTTAACTTTTCATATATTTTATTTCATGTGGTCACACACAGTTCATTAGATGTTCCTGTAGGAAACTTTCCACAATTCATGGATATGGTCCTTTCAGAATGTTTCACTGGCCATTCACACCATTAAAACAGGATCAAAATATAGCTCCAGAGAGTTCTCCTGTTTTTTATTTTTCTTTCTGTTTTTGTTAATTGTTGTTGTTTTATTTTGTTTTGGTCAGTGTATGCTATTTACAACAGCAGTGGAGTTCACTTTATTTGATCAAGTAACCCTATGTATTTATGAAAGAACCTCCTCATCATTGTTTGATACTGAGATATTCCATGAAACTATGCAGGCAGGGTTCAGCAAAAAGGCACTGCAACTTCAGTTTGATTCTGGGACCCACATGGTGAGAGGAGTGCCATGACATCTGCAAATTGTCCTCTGACTTACATATCTTACAAGTTGTACCCTCCTCTGATTATACAAGAGATATATACAAGAGATATAAATATCAATGTAATTTTTGAAAAGTATTCCATAAAGTATGCATAAAGAAGGGCCTACATCTACTTGGATTAAATAGATTATCCTCAACTACATGAGGACAAAGATTGTTAGAAGAATTATGTTTTTAATACTGCATTGGAACCAGCAATGAATTTAAATCTTTCACCACACTGTGTTAAATTATACTTCATGGGATATAGGGATATATGCAATATTATGTAGGTATATATTCAAACATTAAATGCTTGGGCATTTTTTCTCTCATCTCCCAGAAATGTCTGAAAATTCTGTTTGAGATGAACCGTATCACAAATAAATTAAAAATCAGTGTAAGTATCTTGACTTTAGCATCAGTAAATAAGAAAGTTTTGTGAATAAGCATTTTTTAAACAGAGACTTCATATTAAGCACTACTTGAGAATTTTTGCATATAAAACTTTTTTAATAGATTAAAATTCTATTAGCATGAATCTGGTATACTTTTTCACAACTGTGTTTTCTTGTGATGATTTACAAATAGAATAGATCACTTCTCATTCTTCAGTTGGACTTGCTTATGGTAAAAGCCACTGAAATTGGCCATGTGGATTTCTAAGTTTATTTGTGTCTGTGTCTAAGGATTCTGCGATGACAAGTTGTACAATAAAGAAACCATGGTGAATAAACACATTGTATGAAATTTTTAAGAGTTAGCTGTCAAGGAATAGGGAGGAAATAAAACTTGATTTCAAAATTCTCTGGGTCAGCAATTAGGTCTAGTGCCATAGAGAAGAATAATTCTCCAAGGAGAGATGAGTAGTGTTCAAGTCATATCCACAGAAGTGGTGTGAGCACAGTAAAACCTTAATGGTGCTCTGGGGATGGCAGATTATCTGAGTGAGTTAAAGTACTTAGCCCACACACCCAGTGTTCTGAGACCAATCTCTGGAACCTGTGATGGAAGGAGAGTAATCATCCCTGAAAGTTGTCCTCTGATGGCCATATACCCACCATGACACTGCTGTGCCCACACACTCTCTCTCACACATGTACATAAGAAATGAACATCTAATAAAATAAGAACAGTAGTCAACTACATATGTTCTCCTGGCCACTCTGTGACTTGGGATCCAGCCTTGTGATGAATCAGAGTGTGCTGGCATTAGCCTGGTTACTGATAATGAACCAAATATTTTCGTTTTTAATTTTTAGACCAAAGATTCCACCAACAGTTCATAAAAAGGTATAAGTTATTTAACATCTAACCAGATAATAATTTCCATAAAAGGCCTTTCAAACCCCAAAACACAGACATTGAGAGGAACTATGAGTGGATGATATATTCAATCTGGGGCAGATATTGACATTAGAAGCTTTTGTTTTGAGACCAAAACTTGATTTGTTTTCAACAACTGCATCGTTAAAACCCATGACATTTTCTTTTAAAGTATTTTGTCATTGAACTAAAATTTTCCATAGTATCATTGTAAGAAAATTAGAAAAATACTGCCTTTTGATTTTTATCTCAGTTTAACAGATATAAATGCCACCTCTTGTCTCCTTCCCTTAGCCTTTACACATACTCTGCTTGCTAATGCTTATTTTTGATGAGATGTGGGATGAAAAAAAGGAAAACATACTTCAAGCTTTCATATTAATCCATTATTTTATTCATCTAAACCTCTAGCTACATATTGAACTACATTCCAAAATTATTATGGAACATGGAACATTTTTGGCCTTTTCATATGATTTAGAAACTAGATTATAACTACTTAATCCAACTTACCTGGTGATGTCAAGCCTTTTAGATATCCAATAACATTAGTCACTGTTTTAAATTTTGTGACTGTATGAACTTGCAAACGGACAGTTCTTTTTTCTGTAAAAAAAAAAAAAGAAAGAAATTAAAAACACTTATCAATACTGTCATGTTTCCCCCAAAGCATTAGAAGTCATTTATCTAGTATCATCAGTAAAAATAATTCCACATGATTCACATTTTTCAGATAGCTAAAGTCACACTTTTTTTGCCAAATATTAAAAATATTTTACGCATACTCTATTTTTAGGAATTTGTCTTGCTGTGGTCACCATGACATAATTGCCGGCTTCCTGCTCTGAAAGCTGTAAAAAGTCAAGCCTGAATCTCATTTTTATTCCAGCACAGGGTCCAACATGAGAATGCACAGGAAACTGCTGGGGGGAGGGAGTTCAGGAAAGTTGCAGCTTGCAGAAAAGAGAGTAAAAAAAGGCAGATACTATTATCTCTGTGACTGTTAATACCTTCCTGTCTTCAGAACAGGAGGGTAAGACAAACACACATTTTCTCTGTGTGACTCACTATTATATCAGCACTGAAAATTATACATAAAATACTTTATAAAGTATTACTCCTAAAGCCTATTTTCATATTGTACTATCTATTTTCATAGATTATATAATAAACCCATACTAATTTCTTTTTATTTTAATTTTTTCTTTGTATTGATATTTTGCTTGCATGTGTTCTCATGTCCCGTGTGTGTGCATTGCCCATGGAGGTCAAAGAAGGGCATTGAATCCCTAGAGGCAGGAGTTGGTAATCTGGGGATGGTTATTTTGTTTGGTTTAGCTTGGAATTCACTTCCTTGGGGCTGGCAAAATGGCCCAGCGGGCAAAGCAGTTTCTTCCTAGACTGATGATCTGAGTTCCATACCTGGGCCCCACGTGGTGGAAGGAGAGAACTGAGTTCAGGAAGTTACATGAAGATGCATGTCACATGGTTCTTATGTGCCCCTTCCAATAGATAAATAAGTGTAATATAATTTTTAAGAAGGTTAAAGTAAGACTTTCTTACTCTAATTACATGTAATTCACATGTTCTTCAAGTATTTGAAACACTGAAACTGGGTTTTTTTTCAAGTTGTTATCTTTCACAGTGATATCTTGGACAGTGGAAAGCAAATTGTTACTAAGTAATTTATTGTGTAGTTTGTCTTACTACAGCTGCTACCATATAGATTTCTAATATACATGGGTTTATTTTTAGTTTTATTGTTGTGTTGCAGTTTAACCTCTGTCCTAGTGTTTTAATGAATATAATCACATCACCACCATGCAATTACTTTCTGAATTCGACTGTACTGATGGACTGCTATTTTCATATGAACTTTAATGTTAACTTTTAAAGTTTCATGTTTTTGTTTGTTTGTTATTTTCCATTAGGATTGCAAGGCACTCGTAGACCTCTCTGAGGAAATGATGCTCACTCTTTAGTTCACAAACATGGTATACTTCCTAGTTCATTTCACTTGCCTTTATGTCTGTCTAGAGTTTTATATTTTCTCAACAGTTTTGTACAACTATTATTGAATTTATTTTTATTGTTTAATACCTATTTTTCTAACAATCTATTTTGCAGAAAGAATGTCACTTATTTTTATACTTCTGATTTATAACAAATTCTATTGCTAATCTTCAATATGTCACAGTTGTTTATCCATAGGGTTTTTAAAAAAATCTATAAATTTTTTAATTGATTCTCCATGAATTTCACATCATGAACCCTAATTCTATTCATTTCCCATTTTTTCCATGTCTGTCCTCTACCCTTGTAGTGGCTGCAGTATGTCATGCCATATACCTTTTGTCCAAATAGGTTTCCTTACAAACGTTCATTGCAATGAGTCATTGGTCTGGTTCAAGTCCTTTGGCTTCTGCTACACTGGACCCTCATCCAGATTTCATGGCTATGATTCCCTAGGACCAGTCCCTTCATGCACTCCAGCAAGTCATGGATGAGGTAGATGTTGCAGTGGGCCAACCCAAAGCCCTGCATGTGGGCCTATGTAGTAGCTGAGTAGGTAAGCCCAGACTTCCACTAAGATACTCCTCCCCTGGAGGAGCAGAGCAAGCTCTCCCTTGCCCTTGCCACTGGGGCCAACTCTCCCATGAGGGGTGGGACCAGCTTTCCCAGAGCCAGTGAGGGGCAGGGCCAGATTAGGAAGGCTCTTGGACATCAACATGGCCTCAGGTGGCAGTCTAGACCATGGACATCCTCATGGCTTTGGGTGGTAACACAGGCCACAGATGTCAACACAGAAGCAGTAGGACCATAGATCTAGACATGGTCCTTGACAGCAGCACTGGCCTGGATATCACCATAGCCTCAGGTGGCAGTGCAGGCTATTCCCATCAGCCTGTCCCTCACTGCTGCCACATCTCCAGTTTCACAGCTCTCCACAGCACCTGAACTGTTCTGGTTTTTTTTTTTTTTCTCTTCCATCTGTACACCACATACATGCTCACTGTAGTGGCACCCATTCTGACTGGCCCACACAGCACGGGTACAAGCTGTGGCTGTGGCCTCTCAATAACTAGGGTTCTTAATTTTGATAGTTTTCCATGAAGACAAATCCTTTCACTCTTTTATGTGTATACATATGAGTGTCTATTTGTGCACATGTATGTGAACATGAGTACACCTATGTGAGTGCACATGTGGAAGCCAGAGGTTGTCAACAGGTTGACATATGGTATCAATCGCTATTATTTTTCTTTTTATTTATTTTTCAGGTATATGTGTCTGAGGTGTGTGTGTGTGTGTGTGTGTGTGTGTGTGTGTGTGTGTGTGTGTGTGTATCTGAGTGTATGTCTATGCATGTGCACACAATTATGTGTGCCTGAATTTGGAGGCCTGATATTGATATCAGGAATCCTTCTTGATCACTGTCTACCTTATTCACTGAAGCAAGGTCCCTCAGTTGAGTCCATAACTACATGATATGGCTGGTTTCACCAGCCAGTTTGCTCTGTGGATCAAAAAATGGGAATTACTGGTAAGTTGATATAACCAATCGGTTTTTACTTGGATTCTAGGAATACAAACTCGATTCTTCACACTCATACGTCAAGTGTCTGGCCACGGAGCTGTCTTTCTAGCCCCCCTTTCATTGCTAAGCCGTCTTCCCAGTCTCCCTTTCCTTTCAGACAAGGCCTCTCACTTAACCTCAAGCTCACCAGCTGGCTAGACGGGCTGATAAGCAAGTCCCGGGGTCCTGTTATGGCTGTCTCCCAAGGCTGAGATCACAGATTCCCCCCTGAGCCATCTGCTTAACCTCCTTGCTTCCTCCTAGCCACCGATCATTTCGTCCTGGAGCCCATGCAGAGAGAAATGGAGCCAAAACAGTGTCCTTTGATCTTTACCTTTTATTATTAACTTACACAGAATGTTTTTATCATTTTATCTTTTAAAACATTCTTGATATATGTTTCTGGGAAATTCCTTTTATCAAATTAAGAAATTCATTTCTATTCTTATTTTGCTAAGAGGTTTTCCCATAAGCAGATATTGAGTCATCTATGGAGATAGCTGGAAGCTTTTCACTTTACAGTGTTTACAGATATGTACATTTCTGGAATGAACTCTACTTTGTCAAGACAAGTCCTAGAGTTGGTGATATTTTCACACACACACAATATATGTATATATACATATGTATGCATTTATTTGGTAACTTTACATCTCCTTTATTCTAGATTACTTTTGATATGTGGATTATATAAACTTCCAAATATTTTAGGGGTCTTTTCTTCCTCTTACAGATTCTGTAAGATTATAAAAAATGCATACAAAAGGTAGGATTCAAATTCAAAATATGAAATATTTTCTTTTTTCCTTAATATTATATCAAATATATATATATTGATTCCTCTCAGAGGATAGCATTATCTCTGTTATAGGTTCTCAGGAGCTATCCATTTATTTTTGATGCAGGATCTCTGAATGAGCAGGAATCTATGAAGGAAGTTAGGCTTGCTGGACAGAGATCCTTAGAAATGTACTTTCTTACTTTTCTCTGCCTTCCTAGCATTGGTATCATAAGCAGGCACTTCCTCAGTAGGGTTTGTTATATGGTTTCCCGGGATAGAATTTGGATTCTTATGCCTTTGTTACAAACACTTTAGCAGATGAACTATCTCTCCACTATCCAAAATGTTATATATTTCTTATGAATTAAATCTGTATGAAATTTTTCAGTCTTGCCTTTGGTTTATATCCCTCTGGTGAATTTCCCCACAAAGATTGTTTGTACAATGAAGAGTAGCTCTGCCTAAGCTCATTCAGCTTCTTGATGGCGAAAGCAGAAGAGGCACCATTAGAGTATTAGTTCACCAAGACTGAGAGCCATTTCTCTATTTATACTACAGTCCTCCCACTCATAAAATGACTTTGTTAAAGACCACTCTGCAAAGAATGGGTCCAAATAGTGAAATAGTAACATAGCAAAAAGATACATTTCTTCTATTTATTTATATTCTCATGTGTATGTCCTGATGAATACTAATGTATTATTCTATATCCATATTTGAAAATACATATATACAGTCTATTTTCTTTCACTCAAACAGCGCCATGGTCATGCTTTAAATTTTAGTAACAAATCTCTGTGAAACTTTTGATAATGACATTCTAAAGTTCCACTTACCACTGCTGTCATTACTAAAGCAAACAGTTCACTGTCAAGGCAAAGCGCCTGTTCATAGCAGCAACAATAGACATTCTATATTTTGGGCAAGGAATAGTGTAGCCCTTTAAAGCATGATCTATAGTAGAAATTAAAGACGGTAACAGAAGTACCTCAAGTGGGAAAATGGCTTAGAAGAAAATGATAAATATGTGAATGTTCAAATGTGAAAGGATTATTTAGAAACATGAACACAGCATGTGTGTTCACACACAGGACACACAGATGTACATAATGAGTGCACTCAGACAACAGATGTAGACACTGTGAGGAAAGAGTGATTCCCAAGTGGGACAGAGATCAGGTTAGTCAGACCTCCCCATGCCTGCAGGGCTGAAACTCTATTGCAAAGAGATTGCAACAAACTTTCTTT